TTCCGAGTGAGATCCAGGCCCTGCGGGACCTGGTTCTGCAGTGCCTGTAAAATGTAGTTGTGCTGCCAAGCGTATGGGTGAGAGCTCTTCCTGTCTCTTCCCCCTTTTTTCTTCCCTGGGACAGTGATAGTGCTATTATGTGCCATCTGATTTATCGTAAATATTTGAATTGGTTAAATTTATATGATTTTACTTGTATTTTAACCATTATATGTTGCGATTTGCTCTGAGCCCCACAATAGTGGGGGAGAGTGGAACAGAAATTGAATAAATAAACAATAAACCATGCAACCAGGGGTCATTTCGTCGAAAAAGAGCTAGGGGAACTCATTAGCATAACTCATTAGCGTATGCCACACCCCCTGACATCAGGGGCCTGGCAGTGGACCTGCAAGGCCAGCGGGAGTGCGAGGAAGCCCCACCAAGGCCCTCCCTGGCCCCAGGCAGGCAGGGGTGGGGAGAGGCGGGGAGGAAGCAACTTACCCTCCCTCTTCTCCTGCCTCCTCCTGGCTGAATGAGGGCTGGAAGCGGGGTGGCCGGAAGCAGGGGGCGGGGCTTCGTCATATGCCCCGCCCCCTGCACCTCACCCGGGGGAACTGCGTTCCCCCGCGTTCCCCCCCGAAATGACTTCTGCATGCAACTCTCCTCCTTATGAGCAGGACTGAAATGCCTCTTTTTTAAATGGATTTTTAAAAAACAGATCACAAAAATGATTGATGAGGGAAGGGGAAAGCAGTGTGAGAAAGCACACACACAGAGCATTTTTGATCCAATTTCAAACATTTGCAAAACAAAGACTTTTCTTTTGAGGTTCAAGGGTTCTGCTTGCAATATGTGAACAAACTGTCATCTGAACGGAGAGGTGATTGAGCATCCCTGTACTGGGCAAGACACACCAATGATCTGTTTCATTGCAAGGCAACTCTTTATAGAAGACGCTTCAGCTCTTCTCTTCCCCAGCTGAGTGTTCTGGTCTGTGTGTATGCCAGGGAACATAAACATCAGAAATTCATTGTGACAGCGTGAAAGAAGTGCTATGTTGCCTTTGAAGAACACCCAGGTAGGTGCCACTTGGATATCCTGCCTTGGGCACTAAAAGCAGACTGGTCCTGATGAGGCTGGTTTCAGTTTTTTGTACGCTTTCGGCAGATCCTTTCCTACCCTATGTGCTCAAAGCCACAACACTACCTGTACTGCAAATGGTTGCCAACCTCTAGATGGGGCCTGGAGGTCTCCTGGAATTACAAGTCACCTCCAGGTTGCAGAGATCAGTTCCCTTGAAAGAAATGGCAGCTTTGGGGGGTGGGCTGTATGGGAATACATCCCTCCTAAGCTCCTTCTCCTATCCCTGCTGACCCCTCCCCAAACTCCACTCTTCCTAGGTTCCATCCCCAAATCTCCAGGAATTTCCCAATCCAGAGGTGGCAACCCCATGCAGACCTCCATCAATAAATGGGTGACTGATGTCTTTCCAAGTGTCTGTTGTCTTCTAGCCAGGGTGGCTGCTCCAGTTGTCCTGGCTTGCGGTATATACAAACTGGTGTTAGTGTGCTTGGAGCCCAAGGTTCATTGCATAGCTTGCTACTCTTACAGGTGCCTATGAAAACCGAAGAACATGATATATCTCTTTCCCCACCTTGCAAACACCACAACGCTCACACACACACTGTGCTGGGGAGCTGGGATCAATTGCAGCCTTTTCTGTACTATGCTCTTAAAATGAGAAAAATTGAGTTTCAGATGTAACACCTTTACTGGCAACAAAAATGTGGGTAACTTATATTATCACATATAAAAGACCCTTTTGTCACCTGGAGGGCTGCTGCAGAGGTGTCCCCTCCTCTCATATAAGGTGTGTTGGGCTGGTAATGAAGCAGGATAATCAGTCTCCCTCCCACCTCCATACAGCCACTTAGCTTGGAGGGGCAGCATGATGGGGGGCATCTCTGTCTTTAAGTCCTCTCCTGGGAATTCTGAGCATCCATGTGGGACTGGGGCTCATTTGCTTTGCATGCAGAGGATCTCAGGGTCAGTCCTTGTTAAAAGTATCAGGTACTAGTTGATACAAAAAATTTGAGAAAACTGCTGCCGGTCGAGTAGACAAATCCTGAACTCTATCGACCAATGGTCTGACTCAGTATACAACAGCTTAATGTGGTTGTCAGCAGAAGCACATCAATGTGCTGTGTTGGGAGTGCAGATGTGATGTACCTCCACCCACACGTTCCTAGCATGATGACTGTGGTTGCAGAGATTCCAATGGATAGAGATGCTTCCTGTCTCCCCAAAATATACCTTGAAACATTTATGTGCCCAATGGCCATAATGAATTCATCCTGCAAGTAAAAGTCCACTTTCAGGCCACCTGTCCAATTCCACTTGGTTGGGGACAATGCTCCCTCTAAGCTGTGGAGACTTGTGAGCAAAAATTCTACTTTGTGAGCTACTGGTATTAAAGCTGTGAGTGAGCGATTTTTTTTTTTTTTACAAAGGTTTATTTCTAGCCCTGAAAGAACGAAGTCATTAAACATAGTCAAATTGTGCGCGATTTGGCTACTGCATAAATTAGTTTGCTCTGGAGCCATCCTTCCTGAGCTAAGACAAAAATGTGTGCAACAGAGGCTAAAAAACTGAGCCAGCTCACACTAACTCAACTTAGAGGGAACACTGCTTGGGGATGGTAATAATGCTCATTTCTCAGCCCCACCTGTTCCTTGGCCGGAGGGGAGCACTTTCTGACCTCTTCACTGCTGCCATTCCTGGCTCTGTAATTGTGGGAGAGCATCTGCGGATACATTTCATGCACTGCTAGATTTTCTCACCCCAGAAACAGCCGCAGTTGGGCAACAAGTGAGCCCTGTGGCCTATGTAAGCAAGTCTGTTCCATTCACACACACTCCTCTGAAGTTGTGAACGCCGATGTGGAGTTCTCACCAGGGAAGCTGCCACCTCCTTTGCAGAACACAATTCCCACCCTATATTTTCAATCCATTCTGGTGGCTTTCAGCGAGTGACAGTGTCATTTATCACTACAGAAAAGTGACAATTAACAAGTGAGCAGACTAACATATGGAAATCCCAGGAGATATGTCCCTTTGGAAATAGTGTGGGCTTCTTGGTATCAGAAAACACAGAGCATTTGTAGGCAGTTTCTAGCATGGATGAAGTAAAGTTTGTTCCATTAGAGCTACAAAACACAAATTGGATTGCCCTGGCCTGGATAGCCCAGGCATGCCCAATCTTGTCAGATCTCAGAAGTTAAGCAGGACCAACTCTGGCAAGTACTTAGAAGGGCGACCTCCAAGGAATACCAGAGGCAGGACGTAGAGGCAGGCTAATCAAGCCACCTCTCTGAAAAATGCCCAAGCCCCCAGTAGGGGTTGCCAGAAGTCAACCATGAGTTCCAGGCAAGCGCGCGCACACACACAAAACACAAACTGGGTTTGCTGGCCCAATTCTTACTGATTTGTCAAGAAGGAGGAGGAGGAGAAGAAGAAGAGGAAGACGAAGAAGAAGAAAAGAGATTGGATTTATACCCTGCCCTTCACTACCCGATGGAATCTGAATGGCTTACAATCCCTTTCCCTTCCCCTCCCCACAACAGACACCCTGTGAGGTAGGTGGGGCTGACAGAGCTATTTCAAGAACTGCCCTTGAGAGAACAGCTCTGAAAGAACTTATGACTGATCCAAGGTCACACCAGCAGCTGCATGTGGAGGAGTTGGGGAATCAAACCCGGTTTTCCCAGATTAGAGTGTGCACTCCTAACCACTACACCAAATTGGTTCTCCTGGACACTGCTGGAAGTCAGGTGGAGGGTCAATTCGCACAATCCAATGAACATATTGAGAATACCAGTTGAGTGTAACCATGCAAAGTTGGGTGTAGTGGTGAATGCATGGATGAGGATCTGAGAGATCCAGATTCAATCTCCATTTGGCTGTGAAACTCACTGGGTGATCTTGGGCCAATCTTTCTCAGCCTAACCTACACCACAGGGTTGTTGTGAGGGTAAAAATGGAAGATGGGAGATCAGCATATGCCAACCTGAGTTCCATAGAATAATTGCGGGATTTTAAACATTTACTAAATAAATATGTTCAACACATGGTGAACTGGTCATAACTTGGGCCAGGTTTATTGTGCCCTTCTTGGTAAAGCTGCTGTTTCTAGAGGATTGTTTTATTGATCAATAAACGTTTAAGACCTTACACACTCTTTGCAGTTAATGCAAGTCTTACTGAATGTGTGGTGTGGCATCCAGATTTGGCAGGTAGCAGCTGGGAAACATGCATGCACCCATTCCACAAAGAGACCAGCCTTCACTGCTCTGATGCTTGAACTTCCTGGAGTTGTGCAAAATAGTCTCCCAAATTGATTTTCAGGTTAAAACTAGAAATGCCGATAATATAGACTTTTTGCTTGAATACCACTTTGATTTTGAAAATGTTTTTTTCAGTCCCGTTTGGACCATTTTTTGCCTTCTTGTTGTGACTGCTTCCTCTTATCTGGATGAGCGATTCCATCCCCCATCAGCTCTACATATGTGACGCTGTCACTGAAAGCAAGAGAGAGCAAGTGAGAGTGAGGGCAAGTGAGGGCAATGTACATGGATAAGCAAATATTTTCACAAGGTGTGCTGGAAAACTTTTCTTTAAAAAGGAGGTTGTTTTTCAGGGTTGCTGAAAATATTTTTCTAAAAGTGTGAGCAGTTTCAGCTCTGTTGCAGTTGATTCGCTTCCCAGCATGACACACATCACACCTACGTGGGAACTCATCCTGAGAGCTTCCTGTGGCAAGACTTCTCTGCCTTCTCTTGCTCAGGGCACGAGGCTCAGAAATCCAAGAGCAACAAAGGGCAGCATTAAGTAAATTGTGAAATTGCAGCTCCAACCTTTGACTGCCCTCAGCTCAGTGTGAACTGAGTGCCTCCCCCCCCCAAAGTAGTTTAAAAAAACAAAACAAAAACCTTTGCTTTCTCCATTGTCTCTTGTAACCAGGTCAAGACTGGCAGATTTTCACACAAATTGTCAAGCATCTTTCCAGTCACTTACCAGCTGCCCTGGGGACAATTATCAGGCATGTCTGGGTTCCTATGCTGGCCTAATTGGTAAGTTTTCTTACATTGTCCTTCTTGCCGAGTGAACTAACTTTTTTTCCTTATCAGGAGTTGAAAATTCTGGACCACCTGAAGTTTCTAAACTCTCTTTAAATGCAACGGCATGTAGATCACACAACGGTATTCAAAAGATCTCCAGAGCATGCATGATACTTACTTAGAGTGTGGTCACACATGCGATATAAAGCGGGGGGGGGGCATTTCCTCTGGAGGAATTTGACCCGCAGTTGCGCAGTCACACAGTCCTTGGAAGCTGCGGGCACAGCCCACCACTGCGTGATCAGACGAAACTACGTGTGAGTCGGGTTTCTTTTTTTGCTGTTTGTTTCCAGTGTGCTTAAACGAGGAATCGATGAATCGCATCTCTGCACTGAGGGCTCCCTATGGAGTTTGCGATTATGCGCATACTGAGAAGGGGGGAAAATAATGGCATGAACTCAGGATGGCCTGATCAGACCATCCCGACGCCATGAGAGTGCGCTGGAGCGATCAGACATGGGAAAGTCCGTCCGTGGGCTATCACAACCCATTTACTACCAGATTTTCCCTGGTATTTTTTTACTCCGCTTCTGTGGCAGAGCAAAATGGGTTGCCGACAGGTGCGGGGCACTTCCCAGATGTTGTTGTCTGATTGCGCCCTTTAAATCCACCCAGCATTCACGCCTGTGGCAGGGCTAATTTTGTGTGTGATCGCAGCCTTACTTAAAACATTTATTCCATGCTTGTTCTCTCAAAGAGATCCAAAGCAGCTTACAACACCAAAATACAATTAAAATGCTTTAGAAAAAGTATAATTGAAATAAAACAAAAAATAACTTGCTATATCATAGGGCTAGTCCTGGATCCAGTAGGCCAGCTAACCCAAGGCCACAGGGCATGAGCAAAGAGCTAAGAGCCAAGGACCATGAGTTCTTTGGCATTTGGCCTTTGGCTCATGGCCGGGGGCTTGTGCCACTGGCCATGCCCAAACATTATACCTGGAGATAGGAATGGACAACAAAAGCTTAGTCCATCTCTTACATCTCACAGCAATGTTCCTCCCAATCTGCCCACCCATGATAGTGGCTGGGTTGTTGGTCTCCTGAAAGGGGCACAGCTGGCATACTAGCCAACAGGGGCATCCACAAGAAATGCTGGGTTTGGAAGCACTGCCAGGCTGCAAACCAAATACCAAACCTGTCATGATCCACTCCTATGCAACCTTTCCCACTAAACAATGTCCGATCTGCTTTCCTGTGCACTGTGGAACTTTGGACAATGAAACGGCAGGAACAAGGCTTAGAATTGCAGTGGCAGCCAAAGTCTAACCAAACAGGCTGAATCCATTTTAGAGAGCCCAGGAGGAGGAAAACCTCAAGAAGAACCCAATTCAAATGCCAAGTATACTTCAGCGTGCTTCGTTATTAGTTTCTTCGTGAAGGGAAATTAAAAGCACAAACATAAAAAACACTTATATTGCAAGATAAAATGTGTGTGTGTGTGTACTAGTAGTTTTATGATGAAAATATTTCAGAATATATTTTTAAAAAACTACATTGCACAACACATTCACAAAAGCACTTCCTTCCCTCATCTTATTCTTGTGTTTTGAATTGTTTGTGTATAAAGTGACATCAGGTTGCAGCTGACTTCCAGTGACCCTCTATCTATCTATCTATCTATCTATCTATCTATCTATCTATCTATCTATCTATCTATCTATCTATCTATCTATCATCTGTCTGTCTGTCTGTCTGTCGTCTGTCATCTATCATATCTTATCTACCTTTCTATCTAGTACTGCTCATATGGCTATAACCTTAAGCAGAAATTAAAACAATTTTTTTTAAAAAGACCTTAGTATTATTTCTCTTATATTTGATTAAGGCACCTATGAATTTTGCCACTGAGAGGGTGACATGGCCTGCTAGGTCTTCAGGCAAGAGACTAACAGAGGTGCTTTGCCATTGCCTTCCTCTGCATAGCAGCCCTGGAATTCCTTGGTGGTCTCCCATCCTGTTATCTCTGATGAACCCAAAATGCATCCAACTGTATTAAACATTTGATACTGGGTTCCTTTTGAATAGTACCTCCCCCCGCTTTCTTGGCTGAGAATCCATTTTTTAGGGCTGACTCCAGGTCTTTAGTGGTGGCAGTGAAGGAATACTTTCCTGCCACCGTCTAATTTGAAGAGGACCATCCAGTAGAACTTTCTTAATGATTTTTAGTGGGCTTTTTCAGTTAGCCCCCCAGCAGTATTTTAGGTGGCCCACAATTACATTTTGAGTGTTTTAGAGATAAAATCACTTGCCATCAGCCTTTGCTTGCACTCTTAATGCTATGAAATGCAGTTGTGGGATGTTACTGGGCAACCATCTTTTTTTGCAGTGTCTTAGCTATTTCTCAGTTGTTCCAATCCAACAGTGTAGATGTGGTTCCTGGAGACAGGCAACCTGTCTCTTATTTAGTTGTCCTCCTTGGATTATAACATTTTGCCAATAGCAGTCCATTGATTCCAAGAGAAGATAAATAACTGTTTAAAATAGAGGATGGTCCCTACTGCCTTGAATCAAGGGGTCAGTCACTTGTAAATAAACCCTTCTTGCACACTGAGGCGATGTTTGGCTTTCTGACAGAGGTCCCAGCCTCTGGGAACATGCAGAACACTTTTCTGCTCAAATTCACATGAACACATAACACTGCTTTATTACTGAGCTCATTGGTCTATCTAGGTCACTACTATTTACTCTGACCAGTAGCAGCTCTCCAGGGTCTCAGGCTAGGCCTTCCACATTATCTATTGCCTGATCTTTTTAACTGGTGATGTTAGAGATTGAATACAAAGCAGATGCTCTGCCACTGAGCCATTGCCCCTGCACTCCAAAGTCATTTTTCTCATCTGACCATGAAACACACAGACACACTCTTCCACCTCTTCAGCTTTTCAAGTAAAGGGGCTGAAGGAACCACTTCAGATATCAGGCATCATTTATCCACTTCAGAATGTAAAGTCTTCCAAAGATGCTTGTGAAAGAATCTTATAAAAGGGTGGAAACACCCCGGTCTTAAGAGGCAAACAACTTGGCAGGCATAAACAAAGCAATAATGTAGGGAGGCAGGATGTTATTGTTCAGTCTTGTACTCAAAAGTGAAACACACTGTGGAAGGAAAATCAGGAAATTTACATGACCCTTAAAAAGGAATAAGGCAGGAGACTTTTAGAAAATGACAAAAAAAATATACAAATAGAAACTTTTCTAAGGTGATTGGTGCCGAATATAAGTCCCAGTCTGATTCTACTGAGACTGCAATCTACTCTCTAGGGAATACTTCCTGTTGAATTCACTGGGACTTCTGCATATCAGGATTGCATTGTCAGGTTACTTGCAAGCACAGCCTTTTGTTCTCCAATCATTTCCAAGATGACCTCAGCCATGCGGCTTCTCCATCTTTAAAGAGGCAGGAGGTTCAGCTCTGCTGGTGAGACTCCCTAAAGAACACCAATTATATCCATCCAGTACACAAAAACTAAGTTATTTCTGTACTAATCAAGGAGACAGCCAAATGTATGCATTCAGGCAACTGAAATCTTGTGTTTTGAGCTAGCTGGCAAGTATGCCTTTTTAGCCAATGAGAGAAGGAATTAAGACAGTCAATCATAAGACATAAGGCACAGGAAGGTCATTCAAACCAAGCACCTATGAATGACTAGAGCATCTGGTTGAACAGTAGAGTGTGTTGACCATTCATACCACGAGACAGTCCGGCAAGAAGGAAGGAAGTCCCCAGCAATGTGAACACTTATGCAAGAAGAAAAAGGAAGGAAGAACTTGCAGATTGTTGCTTAGAGTGGCAAGCTGATGAAGAAGAAGACAAAGAAGAAGAAGAAGAAGAGATTGGATTTATACCCCGCCCTTCACTACCTGAGGGAGTCTCAGAGCAGCTTATGATCCTTTTCCCTTCCTCTCCCCATAACAGACACGCTGTGAGGTAGGTGGGACTAAGAGAGCTCTCTTGAGAACTGCCCTTGAGAGAAGAGCTTTGAAAGAACTTGTGACTGACCCAAAGTCACACCCACAGCTGCATATGGAGGAGTGGGGAATCAAACCCAGCTCCCCAGATTAGAGTCCACGCTCCGAACCACTACACCAAACTGGCTCTCAAATTCGTCATTTCACATACTGGGAAACTTCCTTGACAGGGGGAGAGGAGAGGCTTCAGAATGGAATTTTTAAAACTTGAAATGGAGTTTGGAACAATTTTACCAAACCTAGACTGGGATTTTTAAAATTCTTAATGTTATGATGTATTGGTTTTGTTCTTTGTGTTTCTATTATGTTACTCTCATTGAGCAAAGGGTGACAGGAGGCATTCTACTCTTACTTTAAGTGCCTGGGTACTAGCAGCACGTGCTTCCAAAAAGGATTAAAAAGTTGCATCTCCACAGGGGTCACGGCCCATCACATGGGGGTCCTGACCCATGGGTGCAAGACCACTGGGGCTGGAGGGCTGCTACTTAACATGTATTGGAAGAGGGCTTTCATAAAGAATAAGGGGTCAGCAAGGATTAGCCCGCAGGTTTCCTGAAGGCCCTGCGGGAAACAGCATAGTGGATTAGATGGATTTTTGGTCTGACCTAGCAGGGATTTTTTATTTCTATTCTTACCTCATCACACTTGGAATTGATTTTGCTCTTGGGGTAGCTGCCAATTCATTCTTTTGTTTTCCTCCTTGTTTGGACAGGGTTTGACATTTCTCCCAACTACATTGACTCCAGCACCACCAGCCTCATCGTGTCCCCGTCGTGTTCCTGCCGGGGCAGTGGCAACATGGGGGAAGACTGCGAGAAGTTCTTGAAAGACTTCACCGAGAACCCCTGTCTCCGTAAGGCATTCCATTGTTTCTGGGCCAATCTGAACAGATCAGGCCGGATGAGGTGCAGGGAGCTTGTAGCTGCTCCCGGCCATCCTATCCCCCTGTTACGGGTCTGCGTGAGAGATGTGCATGTCTGTACATTAAAAGAGAAGACAGAGAAAGGTTGTATGTTAGCAAATGCTATTTTTGCATTATCCTGATTTTGTAATAAATGCAGGAATCAGGAGCTGCTGGCATGCTTCCTTTGGGAGGCAGGAGCTCAAAAAGCATGGACAGGAGTTGTCGTTTCAGTTTCTCACATTAGACGCTAAAATGCCAAAAGTTAGATATTGTGTCAGATGTAAATTATTTTAATTTGTAACAGTAATGCTAACTGCTCCTGACTTTTGCCATTTCAGTACCTAATGCACAGACACATGTATAAACGTATATAATAATATGTCTTGAATTATATATATTTATCTGCAAATGCGAATTGCTTAGTGTTGGGGCTGAGCTGAACTGTGAACAGTGCCAAAGGACCCCAAACATTTGAAGCTGTCTTATATTTGAAGCTGTCTTTCTATCCCAATATTATCTCCTCTGACTGGCAGTGGCTTTGTAGGGTCTCTGACTCAGAATGTGTCAGCTTTCCCAGCCCAGATAACTGAGAGATCCTGTAGGGTGACTGAAGATGCCAGGGTTTGGACCTGGGACCTTCAGCATGCAGAGCATGTGTGCTCAACCATTAAGCTATGCTCCCTGTTGGGTTATCTTTCTGACTTCCTTATTATGAGGACAGGGGCTCTATAACAAAAGGCTGTATTTATAGACAAAGCATGGCAATGCCTATCTACATGTAAGTTACTCTTTGCACAGCTCTCTGATTGGTTCAGTGGACTTGGAGCTCTTAGTGTGCTGCTCCAACCTTCATCACATCCCTGTTTCAAGTGGCCCAGTAAGTAACTAGGGATGTTGCTGAAATCATGGTTCAGAAATAAGGGCTTCAGAAAGCTGTGGTCATTCTGGCTGGGATGGGAGGGATTCACTTCTTACAGCTGCCAGTTCTTGTGGCAACTTATTGGGGTTGTCTTACTGATTTGCCCCCCTTCCAGTTGATCCTGTAACCTCCACAGCCTGCTGATCTCACTGTTTTCTGATCACTGGACAGAACTTGGGGAGATCTACTTGCTTCGCAAGGCTGCCTCTAATGATCACTCCTTGTGTCTGCCCGTACCTTGTTCACTCTGGGCCTAACAGCCTGTGTGATGAGGGTAAAAGAACCCTGATTACCCCTTAGAATACTAATGTGCAATATTTGCAGGGAACAATTTGTTGGTGGAAGGGGTTGTTCAATCAATCCTCTCGCCACCAATTCCCCTTCTAAGGGCCTGTTGTCAAGGTCAGGGTTCATACAGGGTTTTTTTTTTTAGCCTCCTGCCCCATGACCCTCAATTCATACCACTAATCTCAAGGGTCCAAACCCTATAAACAAAACCTCTGGTAGACTGCCACTAGTCCAGATGTTCATTAACAAGCCTCTGGAGAGGCCTTGCAGTTTTCTTGTAAAAAAGACAGAAGAACCCCAATATTGTCTGGGTTTAATCATGGTAACATGAGTAAAGCAGTGTGTACAGAGTTGAATGTGAAAACCCCCAGGCTCAAAATTGGAACTAAAAAGGAATATAAGTTAATGTTAGGGTTGAACAAACTTGTAAATTGTTAGTACTTTCAGTTTTTTTAAACATTAAAGGAGTCCTGCTGTGTTCCTCTCTGAATTCTTTTTCCTAACATCTGAATTCAGGTGATTCTTTAATGCTACTAATACATTTAATTTTATACTTTTTAAATAGTTGGCTTAATGTAGCTTTTTAAAATGAATTGAATTGCCTTGCTAGTTGTGAATTTTTTAAAAAAGTTCTACTTCCCAAACTTGTGAACTGGCTGCCGTCAGCCTGTATTATTTTGGCTTCCTTCCTTATTGCAGGCTAGAAGAGATGTCAGACTTTTCTTTGCAAGTCAGTGGGGCTTAAAAGAATCGTCCCACTCCTCTATAGTTATTGCAAACCAAGTTTCCCCATCCACCCAGAATGAATGTCTGCATGCTGTTCTTTTCTTTTACTTGTTTTAGAAATCAACCAATTTATTTTTTAATAGATCAATGTGATTGTTTGTTTTAATCACTTTGTGTATGCAGCCAGGAGTATAGGACCTGTGTGTGTGTGTGATAGGCAGAGTTGTATAGTTTGGGTTCCACAGGCTTGAGGTTCTGGTAGTTGGCTGCAAGATTGTGCATGTGTGTATCTAGAGCATTGGTCTAATCCCCGCATTTAGAAAAGCAAACTAGGGGCTGCAGCACATAAGAAGCTGTTTGGTCTATCCAAGGATCTCAGTTCTGGTGGTCCACCAAATATTCTTCATAGGGATGCTTTGATTTTATTTTTTATTTTTTGGTATTTTGTGTGTGTGTGTCTGCGTGTGTGCATGTGCATGTACATGCCTGGAAGTCATGGCTGACCTCTGGTGACCCCTAGTGGCACTTGGAGGCAAGTGACATTCAGAGAGGTGGCTTGCTATTGCCTGCCTCTGTATCTCGGCCCTGGTATTCCTTGGAGGTCTCCCATCCGAGTACTTGCCAGGGTCGGTCCTGCTTAGCTTCCAAGATCTGATGAGATCGGGCTTGCCTGGACTATCCAGGTCATGGTGGGATGCTTTGATTTTCATAATGAATGAGTTTGATAGTTGAATTTACTATGTTCTTCTGTGACTATTGGGAGGGAAGGTGGTACAGTATAACCCAATCTCATCAGCTCTTGAAAGCTAAGCAAGGTTGGTACTTGGATGGGAGATCCTCAAGGAAGACTAATCTGAGCAAGGCAATGGCAAACCACTTCTGTTTCTCATTTTCCGTGAAAGCCCCTTACTGGGGTCACTGTAAGCCGAGTGCTACTTGATGTCACAAACATATGTATGTACTACTGTGATTATCAGATGTGAACTGATCATAAGGTCTGTTTATTTCTGAATATATCAAATGCCTGCAAAACAGTGTTGCATCAGGTTTTTGCACAAAAATGGTGTTGATCCATACAGATAGATAGCTATTAACATCGGTGAGGACTACTTAGACAAATGGCAAATGGTACAATCCTTTTTCAGTGCAGAATTTATTTATAACTTACTAGGAGTAAGTCCCGTTGTGGGAAGACATACAACGAGTTCTAGAAGGAAGCTGCAGGTGAGTGTCCCGGCTGTGGCTGGTGAGGCGGCAGAGGGAAGGGGAAAATAGAAGGAGGCAAGCCATGTTTATTTCCTCCCGCTTAGCTATAAGGCAGGGCTATCTCAAGTCATTTTGCTGCCCCAAGTGGGTAGTACGGGAGGACAGCCTCATGGTAACAGGTATGGTTCCCTCCACCCCGACTTATGGTGATTTGAGGTTATGCAGTGGCAGCTAAGGTAGAAAAGCACCTCCTCCTATGCCATGTCTTCTGGGTTCTAAGGGTCTGGAAAGCGGTTCCATAGCCACTTACAGGATTGCCAACTCTGGGTTGGGAAATACCTGTAGATTTGAGGGGTAGAGCCTGGGGAGGGCAGGGTTTGGGGTGTGGAGGGACCTCAGCAGGGTATAATGCCATAGACCATTGCCCAAAGCAGCCATTTTCTCCAGGAGAACTGATCTTGGAGATCTCCAGGTGCTGCCCGGAGGCTGGCAATACTAAGGGGAGGGCCAGACCCATAGATTTGAGGGGTAGAGCCTGTGGAGGGCAGGGTTTGGGGTGCGGAGGGACCTTTAGCAAGGTATAATGCCTTAGAGTCCACTGCCCAAAGCAGCCATTGTAATAGCCGGGAAATTTTCTGTAGGGGTAACAATGTGCTGTGGCTGGGGAACACGGTAATTTCTGGGAGATCTTTAGGCCCCACAGGGAGATTGGCAACTACATTGACTGTTTAAGGGAAGATTGAGATATGTATTTTGGCAACTCCAGTGACTGTTTAAGGGAAGATTGGGATATGTATTTTACCTCAGGACACATTCAATGACTCCCAACAGCAACAGCAAACTGTTTAGAATGTTAGAGGCAAAGGCCAATCAGGCCACATATACAAATGACCTCTGTGTTCTGACTGGCTATTGGGGGGAGAGGAACAGCAAATGGTTTAGAATATTGGAGGCGAGACTCAGGCAACTCAGCCAGTGGATAGGGACAGCTTTTGAGTGACAGATCGGGAGCCAACTGATTAGGTAGCGTGTGGAATGTTCTGGAGAGTGCCACCGCCAAAACAGGATTATTATATAGAGAAATTTATATGATTTGTGCCTGATTTAACTGTCTATTTAAACAACTGTCTGCTAAATAGAGCCAACATACAACAAGTAAATAGAGCAACAAACATAGCAAGACTGGGGGGAGGGAAGGGAAGTGAAACTTAATCAGGTGATGGGCAGACACTCATGTGCAAAAAGCCAATTGCAGTGTCTTGTACTGTAAGGGAACAATACATTGAAGCAAACTGGCAAACAGCCATGAACGGATCAATGAACAGTATGTCAAAAAACTGGCTCTCTGTTTGCAGATAGAGAATACAGCATGAACTAAAATGGCAAGTATGGTCACTTCCAGGCTTGATTATGGGCCTACCCTTAAACTTGACCTGGAAGCTACAGCTGGTACAAAATAGTGGCATGCCTGCTGGCTGGGATGCCTGTGCACACGCACATTAGGGTTGCCAAATATGTTTTGGCCGGGAGCGGGGGGCTCCCGGCCGGCATCTGGAAAGTACGCGCGCGCACGTCACCCTCAAATGGCATGGCCCCGCCCCTAGCGTGCGAAGTCACTTCCGGGTGATGCGCACGCGTGGGTGGGTTTTCCCCCGGGCCCCGATTCCACGGGAGCGGAAAGCGGGGCTCGAAAGCGGGGGGAAATCTGCCCCCCGGGGCATTTGGCAGTCCTAGCACACATTCAGTTAAATACCGGTTGAATACCAAGTCAGGTTTAAGGTTATGGTATTAACCTTTAAGGCCCTATGTGGCCAGGGAACAGCATACCTACAGGACTGTCTCTCCCCGTATGTGTCTTGAAGAGTCTTGCAAAGACATCTGCCTTGCCTCAACCAGGGCCAGGGCCTTCTCAGGGCCTGATTTCAGGCCCCTGCGGGATTTATTGCAGTTCTGCAGGGCCTGTAAAATGGAGTTGTTCCTCCAGGCCTTTGGTTGAGGCAGTGGACATCAAAGAACTTGGCCTCCCCTGTTTTTAGTGACCCATAGCACTATTTACATCATGGGCACCAGGAGTGACTGATCTGTTCTAGTTAGAGTGTGTCTCCACCCTCTCTGGCATGAGCTCATCCTGCACTGAAATAAGAAACTATTTACCAAGCAGCCAGGAGGTATTTAAATCAGATAATTAAATTTTAACTGTTACTGATAATGTTTTAATGAATCATTTTAATTAGCCTAATGTATGGTTTTATTGTTGGATGACATGTTGTGAGCTGCCCAGAGCCCACTCACAGGGTTGTTGTTGTTGTTGTTGTTCAGTCGCACAGTCGAGTCCGACTCTTCGCGACCTCATGGACCACATCACGCCAGGCCCTCCTGTCTTCCGCCATCCTCCGGAGTTTGCTTAATTTCATGTTCGTTGCATAGATAACACTGTCTAACCATCTCATTCTTTGCTGTCCCCTTTTTCTTTTACCTTCAATCTTTCCCAGCATCAGGGTCTTCTCCAGGGTAGGGCAGGATAAAAAACTCAAAAATAAAATAAAATTCAAATAAATATTTGAGCTTCCCCGCTTCTGCATTGTGGCTATGGTATATGTAAGTGCGTCAAGGCAGCCTATGAGATGCCTTCAAATCCTTGCTGAGGAGAAGCGGAGGAACCGTAGCATGCTGGGGGAAGTGACAGCAACGATTACCCTTCTGGATTAGTTATGTACCACACATTGCTAGTTACTGGGTCTTCCCCCCAATAATGTTGCCTTCTCTTCCTTCTTTCTCTTGCCCAGGAAATGCAATTCAGGCTTTTGGCAATGGCACAGACATCAGCCCTCCCCCCAAGAACCCCCCAGTGCCTCCTGTCACCCCCTCTCCCAAGGTGGAGAAGAGCCCTCCTTTGCCAGATGATATCAATGACAGCAACACCATCTACGACACGAGTATGATCACCACCTGTACCTCTATTCAGGTAAGACCACTGTGATGGGGCCCCCATAGATCCTAACCAATTCTGCTGCTGAAGACAAGGCACAGACCATTTGCTTTAACAAACCCAAGCACAGTCATCTCAGAGGTCCTCTAGTCATGCAGGTGACAGCAAGACAATTTTTTTTATTTTGTCAAGGTGAGGGATCAGCTCTGAACTATACCTATCAATATGTCTTTTCAACTGACTTCAGAGAATAAACTCTTCTGCTTCCGTGACCCTCCTGGAAGCATACCTGTTGATAGGAATAATGATACAGGAATTCTGGTCAAAAGCCCCAAGTCAGAATCTTCAGTCATCACCCTTGTGATGTCTTTGTTTTTTAAAATGTTTCTTTTTAAAAATTCTTTATTAGTAGGAAATTTTTTACAAAATTTGGTTTATCTCATCACAGTGTAATATAAAAGCTATAACAAAAAGTAAGCTGAGTAAACTAAGAGAAGAAGAAGAAAAAATCAACGCAGGACCTAACGGGGCTTTATCCAACAAACTGGCACCTGCAATTGTGATGTCTTTGTGATTGGCCTCAGAATAGCTTTTTTGCCATTCAAACAGGAGAGACAAAGACACGAGAATGGATGGGCTCTGGAGTCCTGCCCAGGATATCTGGATCTTGCCATCCAAAGTTGTGAGGCTCCAGAAGGCAGAAGGAGCCAGAGGACTCGAAGAGGGGAACTATGGACAATTGAAATGTTTAGTATCTATTGTGTGGTAGTTCTCAAGAGCACATAACGCCTTTAGGAGACAGGCATTTCAAGAAGCTCCACCTACCCTGGATGGCCTTGGTGGTCCAAATGTTCTTGTCTGCTGCAGGAGCAGAATCCTCTCCTCAGCCTGGCGAGCAGATGCGGAGGCAGCAATGTCACCCTTGGGCAGCCTCTAATTAGATCCGGCATGCCTGAGAAATTACATCTTATGTTTCTCGTTACCGCTGCGTGAGACAATCAGCAGCTCAATTTCATGGTAGAGTTGCAGCGCATCACAGGCCCAGTGCTGCTTTTGTGGGCACCTCTGCTGCCTTCTGTGGCAGAATCAGTCCTCTTCCTAAACAGCGAGTCTTGTGCAATGTGGAATATAATGCTGTTCTATCTATTAACATCATTTTTTGCCCCATTGGCCATCTGATTCACTGCCTGCTGTGGAAACGGGGGCATTTATTACAAAGCTGTTATTAGGGAGCGCTGCTAGGCTGAACCCCAATAATAATTGTTTTAGCTCTGCTTTGCTTGAACCTTTGATCTAAAGGACTGGCTGTCCCCCTCAAACCCATCCATCTGTTCTGACACATATCCGGCAGATGCTTATCAAGAAACCTCTAATGCCGTTCTGGAGTTGCACTCTCACCTCCTGGTGCGAGAGGAAGATTCTCCTCAATGAAAGTTCAGCCAGTTTGGTGTAGTGGTTAAGAGCGTGGACTCTAATCTGGGAAAACCGGGTTTGATTCCCCACTTCTCCTCTTGCAGCTGCTGGTATGACCTTGGGTCAGTCACAAGTTCTCCCAGAGCTGTTCTCTCAAGAGCAGTCCTCAAAAGAGCTCTCTCACCCCACCTACCTCACTGGGTGTTTGTTGTGGGGAGGGGAAGGAAAAGGAAATTGTAAGGCACTTTGAGACTCCGAGTGAAGGGCAGGGTATAAATCCAATCTCTTCCTCCTCCTTCTTCTCCTCCTTGCCCCAGGTCTATATGCATTGCTCCATTTATGCCTCAGTCTTGTATTGGCAAAATGTACTTCTGCCCCCCCCCCGGGAATACCAAACCCTTGGGAAAGTTATGTTTTGATCCCTTTTATGCCTTATTTGTCTTTGATAATACCCCTGTTCATAAATTCCAGTGAACAAACATACAATCTGTGTACAACATACACTTTTATTTTTCTTTACACATGTGTCAAGCAGTGTTCCCTCTAAGCTGAGTTAATGTGAGCTAGCTCACAGTTTTTTAGCCTCTGGCTCACCCATTTTTGTCTTAGCTCAGGAAGGATGGCTCCAGAGGAAACCAATTTATGCAGTAGCCAAATTGCTCGCTTACAACTCTAGTGCTAGTAGCTCAGAAAGTAGAATTTTTGCTCAGAAGACTCCACAGCTTAGAGGGAGCATTGGTCTCAAGTAATTCATATGTTACATCCAATGCATGTACAAGTGAATGTGTGATTGAAGCTGCATTTTTATCCAGGTCGCTGGTTTCATTCCTAACGCAAACACATGTTATCTGTTTCTTAAAAAGAGATGTTCACTGTAACATGTGAACAGGGCTACTATCACTTGCCTCACCACTCCAAACATCTCTGCATTTATGCAGAACTTGCAGAGTTTGTACCATAAATGCTTTCCTTTTTTCTCCTCCAAACGCGGGCATTCGCCAAGGTGGGAAGATCTTTGTGAGGTGCCCAGGGACCCGGGAGCATTTTCCTTCTGCTTTCCCTTGCAAACCGTTTCTGACAGTTCCGCTGTGTGGAGTGCACGTGGAGTGACTGACTGCTTAAACAAGCAGCCTGCCTCCCCTCCCTCCCTCCCTGGCCAATGCAGGTGCCTTGTAATTGCAGGCCTGTGATGAGAATGAAAATTGTCCAGTGCCCTTGTGCAGCTGGCTGCCCAAGGACAGCTGAAACTGGTGGCTGAAGGAATGGCTGACAGGACTGTGGCTGCTTTCAGGGGCAAGGCTGGTTGCACAAGAGGTGCGACGCGACAGACTTGGCTGGAAAAAGGAAGGGCCTTTGTGAATCCAGCCACAATATTCGGGAATCGAATTGTTTCCCCGAAACAAAATTGCATGAAATTGAGGGGAAGTTTCATTGTATGTACAGTAGCATTGCCTAAATGGTATTGTTTTTACTTGTGGCTTGTAGAAGTCCTGAAGAATATCTGTCTTTTAGGATTTTGATGGGGTGCGTCTCAGCCCCATAACCAGTGTTCCCTCTAAGCTGAGTTAGTGTGAGCTAGCTCAGTTTTTTAGCCTCCGGCTCACACATTTTTGCCTTGGCTCAGGAAGGAGGGCTCCAGAGCAAACTAATTGATGCAGCAGCCACATCGCTCGCTCACAACTTTGATGCCAGTAGCTCACAAAGTAGAGTTTTTGCTTACAAGACTTCACAGCTTAGAGGGAACATTGCCCATAACCAGGACATTTTCACTCGGGGGTGGGGCTGGGGGGCATCATGCTCCAGACGTGGTGACGCCACATCACCCGGCAGTGACTCTCCTCCCCCCTCTCTGTCTGAAGAGGGAGAAGGAGTGCAACGGAGGAAGCAGGCAGGCAGGCAGCAGGGCAGCGAGCAGTGATGCCACATCACCCGCCAGTGACTCTCCTCCCCCCTCTCTGTCCGAAGAGGGAGAAGGAGTGCCAAGGAGGAAGCAGGCAGGCAGCAGGGCAGCGAGCAGTGAGCAGAAAGGGGCATCACAGTGCCCCTTTCTGCTCACCACCTGCTGCTCTGCCGCCTGCCTCCTCAGCTCTCCCAGCAGCAGTGAGGTGGCTGGGTTGGCTGGCAAGAGGCACAGTGAGGTGCTGGGGTGGGCCATTAGAGAGCAGCCCACCCTGGTGCCTCACTGCGCCTGTGCCAGCCCACCTGGGTGTCATGACGGCTCTTCCTGGTGCTTTCTGCTGAGGCTGACCAGGAAGCACCAGGAAGAGCTGCTGAGTCCGTGGGGAGCCACAGTGCACTGGGGGGGGGGTGAGTCTGGCATCCTCCCGGGGAGGGCTGGGTGGGATCCTCCTGGGGGGGCACTACCCTCAAAAAACCCACCCCCTCGTGGCTACAGGCCTGGTGCTTCTTGAAAGCAAAATTAATCTTTGAAAAAAATGGGAGGGAAGGAGATGCTTCTTTGATGGCTCTCCGCAAAATGGTGTTGCTCTGATTGCCACTTTACTCAGATGCCTCCCAATAGCAAAACATAAAAGAGCCGCTTTGAATGTGAATCACGGCTGTCCTTTCCCTCTCAGCCTTCAGAGGAATTTGTTTCAAAGCTTGGGTTGCTCAGAAGTCTCAGCTGAAGGAGACAGAGACGTTCCGTCTGACAAGCATTTGCACCTCTGCAAATGAAAGAATCTGTCCGTGATGAAGAAAGAGGGAAGGGGCCACGGGAAATCTCGTTGCCCGATAACATCCCAAAGTGGCTGCTCACTCTTTCTTGGGCAGTTTTGGTTCAGAGGCCTTGCATCTCTGATTGCTTTCTTTGGCCATACTCCAAAGGTGTCTCTTGCCTTCTTGCACGGGGTGAGTAGTAATTACTCCCTCTGCAAGTGGATGAGTTCAGCATCTGCCCTTTCTTCCACCACTATATGTCACTCTCCTGAAATTAGAATGAAGCAGGGAGAGGACCCAGGAGTGTAGCCCTGTGAATCCCCCCTTCCCCCCCCTCAGCTCAGGGAAAGAACTCTGCTGGGCTCTCCCAGCTCCTTTCCCTGACTTTCTAAAATCCGGATATCTTTATGGTTCTCCTGTCTGGGAAGAGGAGCATTGTGGCAGCTGTTGCCTAAACAGGAATGGGACTGACTGCAAGGAGTGGATGCTAGTAAGGGAATCCCTGGTGGGAGAAGAGGAGTGGTCAGGGAGGAAGGGAAGGTGAATGACAGGTGAGGTAGCATCAGAGAGGCAGCCCTGGCCTCACACTCTGCACACTCTACTTCTAGTCTGCAATTCTGATGTTGCAGAGGAGATTTCTGGGGGAAGGAAGAAAAAAAACCCCAGCTGCCATGCTGAGTTTTGTCACACTCTGGTTTCACATCAGGTCATTCAGTAATCCCTCTCCCTTCCTCTTGTGTCTGTGAACTGGGCCATAGTTAACCCAAACTGATGGTCCTCATAGCAATCCAAGCACCATGGCGAGAGATGGCTCACTCAGCACCCTCCTCGGGAAAGAGACGACAGGCTGACAATTCATTTCCTAAATGAGCAGCCAAAGGAAGGGTCATCAGCTGGCTGATGTTTATCTCCGGGCAGAAATCCCTTGTAAAGGCAGGAATG